ATAATGCCACCCACAGCTGAAAGGGCGAGTATGTTTGGTGTGATGGGAATTCGAACCCGCAACCCTCAAATTCCGAGTCAAGCGCCTTAACCACCTGGTCATGCCGGGCCACGGGACTAAACATTGTAGCTTCATCTTAATATATTGCTTACTTATTATAAGCTACAAATGTAATTTGTGTTACTTAGAGTAAGTTTGCTGTAACAAAAGTTATAGCAACTTGTTCTCCATAATTTGCTCAAACAAAATGTGTATTGCTGAATAAGTTGCTTATTTAACTACATGTCTTAGATATTACTAAACATGGTCTGATAATAGTTTAACAATACATAACACCATTAAGTTGTTAAACTATTTACATAAAATAATTTCTGTTTGATTAAAGCAATATACATTAACAAATAAATAACGGATATCTTACACTTTCCATACTTGAAGTATATCTGTTTTTGGCATCATTAATATTAGACATGGGCCTTGCCCACATTCCACGACCCCGAGCATGGTGGAAAACTCCACGTCCATGTAAAAAATTATTTCCATTAAATATATTTTTCTCTGAAGTATACCATGGTAGAACTAAATGACTGTTCACATTTTGGAGTCCTGAATTTATATATGGAGGTGGTAATCTGGGTTCAACATTTTGAAACTGTGGACCCTTATAAGTTTCAAAGTAGGATGGAGGACCAAATCGTGGTGATGGAAGACGCCAATTATTGGTAACGTCACCTACTGCACTAAAGTTTGTCATGTTTGAAGACCAAAGACCATGACTACGATTAGGAACGGGAGGGACGTTACAGACAGGATAGCGGTTAGGCCTAAAAATTGGAATATTAAAACTGTTTTCATGTCGTGGCAAAATTGCTTCTTGACAGTAATTAAAACCTGTTTTTGAAGTAATTAACGAAGGATTCTGATTATTGGTGAATTCCATCATATTATTTCCCGATACTGATATTAGGTAGTTCGAAATATAAATATTGTGTTAATCACAACTTGAACACAACATGCCGTTCAAAGAAAGTCGCCATCTTTTATGAATATTCTCTCAGTAGCATAAGACAGTAAAAACACAATAAAATAAAGATAATATATTTTTTATATCCGAAAATAAATTCATTTTTAAAAAATTAACTGCGTAATCATCGATATTTAGAACGCAATTTAAAGAATTATAAAAATCATACAATTGAATATTGTCTGTTTATCTAATGTGATACAGAAAATTACACATAAGATAATCAAATTTGGGTTTAGACTAAAATCATTTAATTTCTTTCTTTTTTTCGGATGATCATTTCATATCATGAAAAGGATATTATTTGTTTATGTCGTAGCCATTAATTCATCGTTTTTCCGGCTTTTATTTGTGAGCTGTATATGAGAAATGTATCTCGTGCCCTCAACTCCTTTTATGATATTTTTCTATTTTGTATACTTTGAGATACCGAGCCATATGGATATGTTATTTAACTAAGTGAAACATTCCCAGTCTGACTTACTTATATTTATACTTGAATAATCCTATATGCGAGTGCGTAATTACAGCTGTATGTCTAATTAATATCTAATAAACTAATAAAGAAACGATCTTTTCTCTTCGACACTACATTGAAAATAATGAATCTGTGACATGTTTTTACTTTCCATTCTGATTCGGATGTATTTGGCTGCTCGCTCACTTATAATAGCGTTTATCAATCCCAAACTGTCCCATTCTTGCCAGAGAGAACTCGTATACTAATAAGCCATTTTATAAGGTATTCCATCTAATATTAAGATGGACTACTTTTCGACACAATAAGAGTTTTATAAGCTATGTTTTAATGTAGATGAATATTTGCTAGACGGAGCTTGTCATTGCATCGTAATGACGCAACATCTAGAAGTTTCAAGTATAAAAAAGGCCAAAGGGAGTTAATTAGTAAAGTATTCAGTTACAGAATTAGACAGTGAGAATTATTACATTTATTCATCTGTGATTCAGTTAGTCAATGACTTAGCGTGTTTTTATTGATTAATTAGCAAAACAAATCTGTTAGTCAGTTTCTAAGTAGCTTAGACGTACTTCAGTTTTGGAGTTTCTGATGAAAAGTTTGTTTCTGAAGTTAGGCTTACCAGTGAACGCAGCCTGTAGCAAACGTATGAATAAATAAAATAATTTGTTATTGTTATGTGAACTGGACTGGGAATTATTTTACTAAATAATTATTCCTAAAGAATCGACTAAACAATAAAACAGATTACAACAGTAGTCTGAATTTAGAGTGGTATTATTCCATAAAATGGCAGAATGTATTGTTACGACAGCGGAACTCACGTGACGCTAGTAACACGTGATGATTATCTAGAAGATTCACGAAGAGGCGAGATGTACGCTTTTATAGTATATAAGCCAGCAAATAAAGTGACGGCAAGAATATAGTTGCAGATAGAGAGATTGAACATATAGACACGGATAATCGAGTCAAGCGGGTACCATAAGTAAAGTGCGTGAATCGTTGTGAATTATAGCGTGTGTTAAGTTAAAGTGACTGTGGAAATTAAGTGTATTTTAAAATTGAATTAAGAAAGAATAAAGTAGATTTATTTAAGAAAGGACTTGTATTGCTGAAGTTTCTCAGAAAGAATTTCTATGGAAAATTAAGAAACGAACACAGAAACATAACAAATTGGTGTCAGAGAGTGGAACGGAAAAAAAGAAGATGGAAACGAGAGGTGGCAAATCAAATTACAGCTTAGCAGATTTGATGTCAGCAATACAAGAACAACAAAAGAAACAAAAAGAACGAGAAAAGAAACAAGAAGAGAGATTACAGCAGTTCTTGGAAGATAAAGAAAAGAAACAAGAAGAGAGATTACAGCAGTGGCAAGAAAACTTGCAACAGTGGCAGCTCGAACAGCAAAATAAAAAAGAGAGATTACAGCAGTTGTTGGAGGAAAAAGAAAAGGAACGAGAAAATAAACAAGAACAGAGACTACATCAGTGGTTGGAAGAAGAAAGTATCCAACAGTTGAGAGAAAGCCAGAGTACACAAATGGAAAACATTAGTAAATTTCAAAGCGAGTTAAATACATTAAAGAATGATTTACTGTCTTTTACACAAAGAGGATATATTAGCCATCGACCTAATCAGCCTCAGACAAGGGGAAGCCCCTTCCAGACCCCGCAGCTAAGCCATAATGCAGACATCTTCAGTCCTGTCAGAAGTCACATTCCAGACACGAGTGTCAGCAATAGGGGTGATCTAGTACAAAGGAAGCCACAGGAATTCGATGGAAAGGCACCATGGGAAGCATATAGAGCACAATTTGAGCTTCTGGGAGAAATGAATGGATGGACTGAGGAGCAGAAAGCAGTGTACTTGGCAACGGGCTTGAAGGGTCAACCACTGGAAATACTTAGACAGTTGTCAGCAGACGACAGACACAACTATAGAGCACTGGTAGTGGCTCTAGAACTCGGGTATGGAACCCAAAATCAGTCTGAAATCTACAGGGCTAGGTTTAGGACTAGAGTCCATGCTAAAGGTGAGAGTCTGCAAAAGCTAGCACAGGACTTGGAAAACATGGCACACAAGGCCTACCCAACTGCACCACCGATCTCCTCAAGCTGTTGCTAAGGGATCAGTTTGTAGACACCTTGGACAGTCCACAACTGAAGATACATGTTAAGCAAGCACATCCTTCTCCTATGCACGATGCAATGGCCAGAGCTCTTGAATTCGAATCCTATGTTAAGTCCAGCACAGAGATACCAAGGTTGGTACAGTC